AGTAGCGTCCAAAAGTTTAGAAACAGTGTCAATTTTTTTGAATTTTATCAAATAAACATGCTTAAACATAAGCAAATGAGCTCAAATTTTCACCAACTGTGTAGTTTTTGCTATATTTTAATTCAATAAAAACATTTTGTACTATAATTAAGTATTTCAAAAATAACCGTTAAAATTTAAAATGGCTGTCGTCCAAAAGTTTGGAAACGATTTTATGATAATTTTTTTTAAAGCTTTATACTAAATTTAGGTATGATTTATGGCTCAAAACATAAAATTTGGACTTTATTCTTTGTTTTAACACAAAAAAGTATGCTCAAATCGGTTCCTTTCATGCTTTATTTTTGATTTCAAAATGGCTGACATTTTTATATGATATTAACCAAAATTAATACTTTAAGCAAACTTTTTTCTTAAGTTTAAATGCTTATTACATAGTTTTTTACAATATCTTTCAGAAAATATATAGTTTATTATGTTTTGTTAAGTTTAGAAGTCGAAATTTAAAAAAAAATCTTTTTTGGAGAGAAAAATTCGCTGCTTAGAAAAGTTCGAGATAATTTAATTCATTAAATACCAACAAACTATTCGATATTTTGGTACCAATTTATTGCATTTTAATTCTCCTTTAAGTTTTTGTATGATTTCCTTAACATACTTCAAGGATCAAACTTTTATTTAACTATTCTTTAACCTACAACAGACAACCTTGAACGACGCAAAATGTTTTTGCAAAAAATTGTTGAAATTTACTATGAATTTTGTTGCAAAATGACTAAAATGTATTAAAATAACATTCTATTGATGAATTAAACAAAACATGTTCAATTAATTATAGAAATAAGAAATTTTTTGCAAAAACATTTTGCGTCGTTCAAGGTTGTCTGTTGTAGGTTAAAGAATAGTTAAATAAAAGTTTGATCCTTGAAGTATGTTAAGGAAATCATACAAAAACTTAAAGGAGAATTAAAATGCAATAAATTGGTACCAAAATATCGAATAGTTTGTTGGTATTTAATGAATTAAATTATCTCGAACTTTTCTAAGCAGCGAATTTTTCTCTCCAAAAAAGATTTTTTTTTAAATTTCGACTTCTAAACTTAACAAAACATAATAAACTATATATTTTCTGAAAGATATTGTAAAAAACTATGTAATAAGCATTTAAACTTAAGAAAAAAGTTTGCTTAAAGTATTAATTTTGGTTAATATCATATAAAAATGTCAGCCATTTTGAAATCAAAAATAAAGCATGAAAGGAACCGATTTGAGCATACTTTTTTGTGTTAAAACAAAGAATAAAGTCCAAATTTTATGTTTTGAGCCATAAATCATACCTAAATTTAGTATAAAGCTTTAAAAAAAATTATCATAAAATCGTTTCCAAACTTTTGGACGACAGCCATTTTAAATTTTAACGGTTATTTTTGAAATACTTAATTATAGTACAAAATGTTTTTATTGAATTAAAATATAGCAAAAACTACACAGTTGGTGAAAATTTGAGCTCATTTGCTTATGTTTAAGCATGTTTATTTGATAAAATTCAAAAAAATTGACACTGTTTCTAAACTTTTGGACGCTACTGTATATGACTATAATCTTGTTTCATGCAAAAGAAGAAAATGTTCTTTATGATGACAAAAACAGCAGTATCATCGAGTTTCTGGAATTTTTGTGTCATGCATCATAAATTTATGCGCATTTTTTGTCCGTAAATCTCATAATTTGAATTTGATTGGGCAATCAATAAAGAAATTAATGTAAATATAAACTTTTCTAATAAAAAAATGCAAATTTTTGTCATCTTTCCCACAAAACTGAGGACAAATTCCTTTCGTAATGCCATGAATATTCAAATATTCATAAGGGGCTGCTCATAAATGACGTCAACCATCGATATTTTTTTGGATTGAAGTGTCATACAGCGCCAGAATCCCTCCTCAAAAGATGAACATCAATGTACAAACGACCCCTAAGCTTTGGAGCCAAAATGAAGCATAAAGTTTTCACAATTCATAAAAAAGGAGCTTAAAAAAATGAATGAAAGCACCAGTGACATAAATGTTGTTGTTTAGCATCGTGAATGAGATATAAACACTTTATCACAAGCAGAGAAAATGTATTAAAGAGTTGTATGCACATTTTTATATCCTTATCATGTCATATCCAGTCTCTTTCTCACTCACTCGTACTCGTTCTCTTTCTTATTATATAAAATTAAGTATGAATAGGGATCAAAAAAAGGATAAAGAGCAATGTTAATACGTCTTACTCCAACTTCTTCTTATTATGCTTAGTTTTTTTTTCCTATTCGCTCATTTATAACTGCGACAAGGCAAGGATGATATTAAACTTTTTTTTTCATCATATCTTGTCTTTTTTTGTCAATACTTTTTATGATTAAGAGAGCAGATCGTCATGATTGACTGCAGAAAGAGGATGAAATGATGATGAAATTTTAACATTTAACCTCAATATGATACTAGAGACCAAGGGGGAAATTAGCTTAAATAGATCAAGTCCATGGAGATTGAATTAATCTTCTTGAAAAGAAAAGCGGATGTGGGGATTGCAAGTGCTTTTATGGATGTTATTTAAGAAAAATGCTTTATAAAGAAGTGATGATCCTTGCGGTCGATTTTTTTAAGAGCGGTGAAATAGCATCAGTGGCTTAAATGGTAGAGCGTTGGCCTTCTGGCAAAGGTTCTGGGTTCAATCCCAGGCCATGTCTAATTTTCGAAGCTCTTTTTCCATTTCACCGTTCTAGTTACGAAGCTCGGTTCGTGTGTTGGGTGTAGTTTTGAGGTCTTTGGCACTGAATATGCCTTCTTTGCTAGGTATACAAGGATATACTAGCATCTGGATGACTTCCTTACGGCATCTTGTGCACGCGAATTGTGACTAGGTACATTGCAGGGTACATCAGGTCTTATGACGTACTCGTGTCTTTGCAATGTGCAGAGCTTGCAAGTGGTTCGGATCCCACTATAAACTGTAGGTCTAAAGGGTGTGGTACAATAGATTTTGTTCTAATTTGAATCGCAGTGCCTCCAGATGAAAGGCTGGGCCCTTCACATAAATTATTATTATTATATTATGAGGTCAATTTCTTAGAATATTAAAACTATCATAATCCATAGCTCAAGCCACAGCATAACCATGTTAGTAGCAAAGCATCAAAGATCCTGCCAAAAATTTATATTAGCTTTCAGATGACATCACAAATTTCAAATCATTTTCCCATTGAGCATCTTTCCCCCAGCCAAAAATCGCTGTTGTGCTGTTAATGACATAATCAGATGGCTTCTTCCTATTTTTCTTCCGTTCCATCTTTCTATTTGCTCTAAGCATTTAACGATATAAATGACGATCTGTTTTCATTCATGCATGATTATGATTGATTCGAAAGAGAAAGAAGGAATTTACAATGCATAAATAAATGTAGCTGAGGGTAAGCTGAAAGCTACAAATGATAATGATGACGATTATAATAAATGAATATCAATTGTATGGGAGGAGGTTTTTGGTGTGGGTCGGAAAATATGAATGAAAAATTTTCATATTTGTGGAATCGATGAGCATTCAATAGATGTAAAATTAAATAACTAAGTAAATCATTTTGTATTTATTCAGCACAAATTGCTCGCTCTTGATTCATATTCATCTGTCTCAATTGTAAAGAAAAACATAGACATTGAACATGGAGATGAGGGAATAATGCAAAAGGTGGAACTTTTAATCAATTTCAATCAAATGCACATCACACAATGTTTTCATTACTCAATTGAACATGAATTGTAAAATTAGATTAATTCGTCGAGTTTTTCAATTTCACAAAAAAGTTTGAGCTTGTAAATTTTATTAAATTATATTGGAATAGACTGATGAATTAAATTATAATGAAAAATAATGAGGATCTTGTAAAACATGAAGATGAATGATAAGCATATAATTTTCTATGGAATGTGCTGAAGAAGATGTGAAAATTGAGTTCATAAAAACGTATTTAATCTGAAAATCTGGTGACGTGAAATTATAGAAATATTTTTGAGGGTTGGAAACATTTTTATGCGCAATTGAACTTTTTGAAAGATTTTGGAACTTTTTGGAAGTGTTTTTGAACTTTTGAAAGAGCTTTTGAACTTTAGAAAGAGTTTTTGAACTTTTGAATCAGTTTTTAAACGTTTGAAAGAGATTTTGGAACTTTTTGGAAGAGCTTTTGAACTTTTGAAAGAGATTTTAAATTTTTGAATTGGTTTTTGAACTTTTGAAAGAGATTTTGGATATGTTTTTTGAACTTTCGAAGGAGCTTTTAAACTTTTGAATTGGTTTTTGAACTTTCGAAAGAGATTTTAAATTTTTGAACTTTTGAAACAGATTTTAAATTTTTGAATTGGTTTTTGAACTTTTGAAACAGATTTTGGAACTTTTTGGATATAGTTTTTGAACTTTCGAAAGAGCTTTTGAACTTTTGAAAGAGTTTTTGGAACTTTTTGGATATAGTTTTTGAACTTTCGAAAGAGATTTTAAATTTTTGAATTGGTTTTTGAACTTTCGAAAGAGATTTTGGAACTTTTTTGATATAGTTTTTGAACTTTCGAAAGAGCTTTTAAACTTTTGAATTGGTTTTTGAACTTTCGAAAGAGATTTTAAATTTTTGAATTGGTTTTTGAACTTTCGAAAGAGCTTTTGAACTTTTGAAAGAGTTTTTCAACGTTTGAAAGAGATTTTGGATATGATTTTGGAACTTTTGAAAGAGCTTTTAAACTTTTGAATCAGTTTTTGAACTTTGTTGACTAAAATCAATGGTTTTATCTCGTAAATCCATCAAATTTGAATGAAAATTTTCTCCAAAGTAAAATATTAATAGTTTAAAGTCAAAATCACATAATAAAGTAATAAATATTCATCAACGTCAAATGAATAGTAAAACAGATTCCTGTTCCCATTCATCTACAAATAATTAATGAAATTGATTTTCAAATTTTCAATTCCAGATTTCCAAATAATAAAAATAATAATAATATGAGAGAGAAATGATATGACGTGATTTGTTGGTACATTAATGAGCGTCAAGATTGTGTTCAAGCTGTCAAGGTATAAACAAAAGACGTATCCGAGAGAGAAGGACAAGAAAATTATACTTTTTATATCCTCAAATCCTAAATTGACCTTAAAAAAAGCAAAACGTTTGCCAAGGAAAGGACGTGAGAGAGCGAGACGAGTAGAATAAAAAAAAATATAAAAGAGATTTAGGATAAAAGATGATATCAAGTCGTATCCAAATCTACGCCTTTTTGGTCTTTTTAATCTTTAATGTGGAGAAAGGTAAGTTGAAGTTATAAAAATATACAATTTTCTTTTGTGTAGAGACGAGACCCTTAAAGATGGGATGAATAAAAACTGTAATTTATAATCAACATCGACATCACATCTGTCCGCATTAATTTTAACTTCTTTTCTTCCATTTCTACCTTCTAAAGCTCTCTCGATTGATTGCTTCAAATGTGTATCGATGAATGGTGCAAATCCAGAGTGTGACGATCCTTTTCATAACAATTTTTCATCTGCTCTTTTTGAGAGTCCCTGTGAGTATACGTGCATGTTATTCCTAAAAAAAAAAACAAAAATCTTTATTGCCATTACTGCAATATTGCTATAGCACTCAACACTCGTCAACCGCAATTAAATAAAAAATTTCAATCTTTTTTATCTCATGTCATTAATGTTACTGCCGTTGCCATTCTCTCCATCCTCAATTGTTATTGCGCGCAATTTACCTTTAAGGCATGGGTGGACGGAAAGGACGAGATGGCCTTTTTCCCGCAACATCATGTGAGTATCCTTCTTGTGTTTCCATTTTTTTTTGTTCTGAGCGAGCGATGAAAGCGAAACTAAAGTTATGGGCAGTTCTGTGGATTGGTGCTGCTTGTGTCTTTTGGGAGATAGTAGTATAGCTCAATACAGCCTCTGTCCACATTCTCTATGAATTAAAAAAACACATTAAAACGACAGTTGCTGCATTGAGAATCAACAAGTTATCAACACTGTTCTAATTTATGGTCTGAGTTCCGCATGTACTATGCATGTTTTCACGTTAATGACCAAATGTTAGTCCACAGAATAGCCCAGCTTTGATGCTCCTTTTGTCTTTTTCTGTACTTTTTGTTTACAACGATTAAAACTTGGAATACCTTTCTTACCTTTCCGTTCTTCTCTCTCATTTCCATTATATTATGTAAAACTCCAAACCGTTGACGCAAACCAGGCATAAAGATTGCAGGATATTTTGGTAAGAATTCATTTTTCTCCCATTCAAATGCCGAGATTGAAATTTAATTCACCCGCTTAACGAACCATTATTTTCTCATTTTTTTTTGTGCTTCTCGCATCCTTGCAGATGATAATAAACATACGATTACAGTTCGAGGGTGTGCACTCGATTCTGGCACTTTAACAACAGACACGGAAATCATCAGGATGTCGCATTGCGGTAAATTTTATTATGACGAAAGGTGAGTCTATGCATAATTAATTTACAAGCACTTTACATGTGTGAAAAGATGGTTGGAGATGTAAATTGTATATATTCATTTATGCATATGTTATCATAATGTAGCTATTTTGACATAATTTTCTCTGCCATAATCTTAAAATATTAATTAAGTCTATTGTCAGGTGGTTTTGTAGCAGCTCTTGGGAGCAATGAGGTTGAGTAAAGGAATTAGATGTTTAAACTTGCTTAGAACTTTGATCTGGATTTACTAATCAACTGTTGACTCAGGGATGTTCGAAAGCAAGGGGAAAACAACATGATGGGAAAATATTTTGTTGAGAATTCTCAGTCCTATCGAAAATCATGGATTGATAAAAATTTGTGTTTTAATTTTTAACCAAAACTTTTCCTCATCAAGTTATTACCCCCCTAAGTACACCCCTGACTCTCTCTCAACCTTGATTATGATGACTTTAAATTACCATAATAAAGATTCTGGGGTTCCATTATCCACAGCAATATAACTTAAAATTCCATACGAGAAAATGCTGATGATTGTTGCTCAATTCCTTTCTATGCTCTTTGTTATTTCATACATGATGATATGGAAATTTTTATGTGTGATTTTTCCTCATTCTTCTTATGTGACTACATGATTTTCTATTCAATTTCATTCAGAGATTTTTCAATTTTTTTTTTATTTTAAAATATAATGCGGAATGGCAAGCAAGATAAAAAGGAACAAGCTTTTCACAAACAACTGTTGATATGATGCTGGATTGTGGATACGAAAACAGAAAAAAACACTGTGCATTATTCTCAGGAATTTAATCAAGTTGATTGCAGTGGAATTAGATTTAGAATTCTTTCAATATTGGATGTTGATGGATATTTGTTATTTTGCCAATTGCTACCCACGTTTATCCATCGATCAAAATATTAACTTTCTCGGTCAAAGAAAGTTTTGATTGATTTTAAGAGTTCGAAGTTCCTCAGGAGCCAAAATAAGCAGAGAATTCAATTTTAGATTATCTAGTCAGTAACAATTTGAAGCTTGATTGAGCTTAACTTTTGTCAAAATATTTTCCAACAAATTTGTACTTGTTGATGATTGCTGTAACTTAGGTCATTCGAGTGGACTTTAGGGATTTGGTTAAGGCAATTTCTGTAAGTTTTGGTTTCTTCATGATGCTTTGGTTGATTTTCGAGGCTTTTCAGCTAAACATTGTGCATTGACATAATTATCATGGATTGTATTGTGTCCTGTGAAGGCAGTTGGCTCTTCTTAAAGGCTGACATCCTCAGTGTTATCAAATGAAGAAAACGTTAACATTTAAATCCAAAAATCCAAAACCTCCTTAATTTTCCGATATTAAGGCACATTAAAGGCAAACCAATCAATTGCAATTCTATTCTTGAAATTCAATAATCCATAAAACTCGTCTCGAATGAAAAAGTTTCACCTCGACCCAAAAAAAAGTAACATAAAATTAAGAACAACAATAATGAATGGAAGCAATCAATTTTACTTTGCAGCACAATCAATTCCTTTAACCTTTCCCAACAGAATAATTCAAGTCACTTTATTTATTCCTTTGTTTGCGTTCTACCTTAATTTAGTGAATAAAATCTTCTGTATTGGATATAGAATAAAGTTTCAATCGCTATGCCTTTGAAAGCACATTCAACTTCTTTTGGGGATGTTTGTGAATGATGTCAATCGAAGATTTGAGATTTAAAATCCACTCGATCATTTAAGGTTCTACAGATCAATTGGGATCAGATCTCGACCCTTAAATTTCACTTTATACTGCTTGACGTCACTGACGAATAGCCTCCATTGCAGATCCAAATGCACAATATCGACTGCATCGAACAATTCAATCACTGAAATGGAATGCAAATTCTTTTATTAAGTAACACAAATTTCCATAAAAATGCACAACAAAGGTGTGAATTTGAGAATTTTTCAGAGCTTCTGCGAGTTTAAATAAAGGAACAATAAAAAAAAAAACTTTATTCTCCTCTTCTGTACAGCTTGCTGAATTTAAATTAATAGAATTGAAAACTTTTCTTATTAAATTTCATTTGGAATATTGTTTCAAGTTTTCTTGCTCCTCCTCCTTATGCTTGCTACCTTCCTTGAAGCATAAAAACTGAAAACTGTAGCTGAACTAATAGAATTCTTGTGTTTATATAATTTAATGTGAAGCTTCAATTTCAAGGGGGTGGTGCTGTGGTTCATGAGGAATTAAATTATTTGTTTATAAAGTTTGGTGCATTTTTATGCCATTTTGGGGATGGGAAGATAATTGATTGATAATATTTTGAATAAGATATCTGGGGCCGTTCACTTATTACGTTCGCATTTTAGAGGGGGTTGAAAAATTGTAACAAAATGTAACCTAGGGAGGGGGGGGGGGTCAAGAAGTATGTAACGTTTTTCCACCTTTTTATTTATCAATAAAATAAATTATGAACGTTTAGGGGGGGGGGGGGGGGGGGTTGTGAGTTGTAACATATTGTAACAAGGGGGGGGGGGGGGTTGAAAAAAGTCGTTTTTTTGCGTAACGTAATAAGTGAACGGCCCTCTCTTAGCTGTCGAAATGCTGGGGATTGGGGAGCTTGCTACGTGACTGTCACACTTTAATCATTTTTAAAGCTTTTTTAATCCATAATTCCTTCTGATCCACTGTATAAGTTTATCTTCTTTACTATTTTATAAAATTAAGGTACAAAAATTATTTATCCATCCATATAATCATATTTGCATGCACGAATTGTGATGGAAGTGCATATTTTTTGGCTACATAAAATTACTTCCTTCTGATTTTGAGTAAATAATTTTTGTCTGAAATTTGTGCATTCACATGTTATGTCCTGTGGACTTTCCTCAGCGCTACCAAGACAAACTTCATGATAATCAAATTACAAAGGGGTTGTTCACTTATGACGTCTGAAATTAACGGTCATTTTTCAAAAAAGAAAAATGGATTTCTAGGAATTTCTATTATTCTTTTCTTGTTGACCCCCCCCCCCCCCCTCCCCCCAGCAAGCAAGCAAGTTAATCGGCAAAAAATCTCAATAACTAGACATCGTAGAGACTTCTGGTTTTTTACATTTGATCCGTGCTGCTCTATAGAAGAGCTGAATTGTTTTTGGGTAAGGGAAGAACAGCCGTTGCTTCAGAAAAAGCAAAAAACTTTCCTTTCTTACGAATTTTTCAAAACAAAAGTTCACTGTAATTTTTTTTAAATTAAACTTTGGATGATTTCAAATAATGTTCGTTAAGTTTTAAACCTTCAAACATATGCTGAGCGAAGCTCAGCTGACTCGCTTGCTTTATATCTTCAAACTTATGCTGAGCAAATCTTGGTCTATCCATAAGACTTTTGATGGTACGGTGTGAATATAATCCGCATTGGGTTTCTACCCGATACACAAGTTTTAAAAAAATTTAATTAAATTTAAAAAAAATTCTCTTTTTTATTCTTCTCATTCAACAGATATGTTCATGGATGCCTTCAGTCATGCGACATTGATGGTTGCAACAGATCAGGGATAACAATGAAAATTAATTCGCTTTGCGTAGCTTTTTTACTGCTAATTACTTACATTTCAATGGCCCTTTTCAACCGCAGCTAACATTAACTCGAGGTTGACAGGAAATGGTAATTAAAAGTAATAAGAATATATATTTAAAGAATAAAGCTTTTGTTAATTTAATAAAAAAAATTTTATGTTGTGCAATTTTTTAATTTCCAAATAAATGAAAAATAAAATTTTCATTTTATGGAAGGCTCATCATGATGATATGTATATGACGAAAGTAATAAATGATAAAAATATAATAATAAATTTTTTAACTAAAATATATTTGATAAGAATCGATCAATAGAATTAAAATATAAGGATATAAAGATTATTAGAAATTAAATGAATTATTCACTTTTGTACAGAAAGGAAGCTACTATTATTATGTATAAAATATGTAATAAAAATGGGGATCCATTAGCAGCTTGGCTGACTGTATTATTGAGCTCTATAAAAATAAATTACTATGAAGATGACGATAATGATCATGGAACTTCTAAAAAAATATATATTTATTCTTCTTTCTACTTATGTAAGGGACATTCACTAGTGACGTCTATCAAATATTAATTTTTGGACGTCAATAACTTTTTGATATGAAGTTTCTAAAGGCATGCATTATTTATTGGTTAGCAGCTGGTCTACACCAAGGTATGTCTACTTGCTATACCCTCTATCCAGCTGCTTATTGAGGAACTGGTCAAAATCAAAAATACAATAAATTCTGTAAAATAATAAAAGCAAAAAGCTGGACCCTTCATTTATTATAATATCAAAAGGCTGATTTCTATTGATACTCAGCTTGAAGAGCTCTTATAATTAATCCTAATTGATGGACGTGATTAGTGATCAACCCCTTCTTCCATTTCTTTTGTCCGCGTTTGAATAATCGCTTTAAGGACGTGAATCAGATAAGGATAATTTCGACTAAAATATTCTCAATTACTCTTTGATAGCGATCATTAGTTATTCATTCTTTTCATGTTAATGAGAGAAGCTTTTATTTTAGAAATTAATTGGTGAAATTTTGCTTAGGGGTCGTTCACTTATGACGTCCATCAAAAAACCTGATTTTTAGACCCCCCTCTCCCCCTCTATCACAAAAATTCTAAAGAAAAAAATTTCCATTGTTTGAACTGTCACAAAATCCTAGACCCCCCTCCCCCCCTAAATGTCGGACGTCATAAGTGAGTTTGTTGAGTGAGAAACAAACAGAATTTGAATCACTAACGGTTATTTCGAATTTGAATTATTAACGATTTGAGTTTTTTGGGAAAGTTTCTTTCCCCTCTCAACACAAATATTTCCAGTTAAATTTTAAAATTTAAAAAAAGCCCGTTGAATTGACCAATTTTGCAAATTAATTTTAAGCTTCACAAATTTACATTTAATAATCCATAAAAATCAAAACAATTCTCATACAATGAAAAATTAACTGTATGCACAAACAACACAATTAGTTCCATATGAAATAATAACTAAGGAAGGATGTAATTAATGTTTAAAAAAATAAAATAAAATATTTCATAAAAGCTTCTATCACTTTACATCCTTACACTATAGCACGTGAGATTCATGTGATTTAAAATATCATTAATGTCATGTTTAAATAGGAAGCATGTATCGTTATCATCATACAGACAGACACTCACACAATTTCTTCTATTATTTATGTCATCATTATCCTATCATTTTAAGGAACATGTAAAAAATAGCAAGAAAGTAGACAAACATCAAACAATACAATACAAATATGTGATGAGAGATGAGATTGCATGCAGCATAGACAAAACGCTAAGGAGAAATGGAATATAATTTAAAACAACATACAAAATTTACAATGGAATCCATTTAATATATACGCGTGTACAAATAAGAACGAATGTTGAGTTGAAAGGATAATGTGACTTGAATTATGTCAGCGCAATTAAGTTGACTTTTGATTGGCTTTAAGTCTTTTGATTTTGAATTTTTAACGACTTTGTAAAGTTTGAATTTTAACGATTTTTTGGTTTTTTGAATTTTTTATCAAAACTTTTCAAACTTTTAATTTCCGTTAAATTCTCATCTTTTTATGATTGCAAAAGTAAGCACAAATGCACTCACAACCCACGAACACAAGCCAACAGCAATTAATATGCATTAAATAAAATTCTTTCGGGAATTTCAGCACATAATTACTGCCTGTGGATTGAAATAATTTTTTTGAATGTTTAAAAACATACAATTAATGTACATATGATTAATTAATGTCACACAACGATGAAAAGCTTAATAGGACTTTTAAAATACACACTGAAACTTTTTATTCATGACATGATGGCACATGGATTAAGTGCTATATTCTGAGAAATTGTAACGTAATGTAAGATTAGTGAAGCAATGTAATGGAAGAAATCGCTAGCAAATTACTTCTGTAAGGAGCTTCTTGATGCTTATCTCTATGAGTGTTTTTCTTATGTGTGGATGTTTCATTCCATTTTGAAGAGAGAGCTTTTAGCGACGAGATAATAGTCCTTAATGGGTTAAATCGAGGTATTTTTCAGCTCTTGTGAATTCAAATGAAAGTTCATGAATGGATGCATCATTTTGAGGATTAAAGCATTCACTTTAAAGTTGATTTGTAGATGAAATTCTTAAAAATTTGCTCATAAAACTATTAACGGACTTTCGAGTTTTAAACTTTTTCGTTAAAAATTCAAATTTCAATAACCCGTTAAAAATTCAAATTTTAATGAACTGAAAAATTCAAATTTCAATAAACCGTTAAAAATTCAAATTTTAATAAAGCGTGAAAAAATTTTTATTTTTTTTGGAAAAGTATGATCATGATAAGCTTTACATGCTTGATTATCAAGGGACAAATATACACAGACATTGACTTACACAAAAAGCCATTCAATTTTTACCATCAAATGCTTTCAAAATTTGACTCAATAAACTTAATGGAACATAACATAATCACATTACTCATGCAATTTGCTACAAATTTGACATCACAATTTGAGATAGTCCATTAAACTTTATGAGTCTGATAACAGAAGATAAGAGCTTTAGTATAGCTTTGTTCATTAAATTTTCACAAATTTTCCCCAAACCATCCACATGAGCCATGAAATTGTAAATCATAATCCGTAAAGCTTAAATTAAGATGAACTTATGATCTTGCTAAAATTTGTACAGAATCGTTATCAGAAGTGCTTACATTAATCATAATTATTGTGAAATATTAAGGTCATTTTAAGGATCTTAAGCTGCTCTGATCTTTAATTGAAATGAGTGGTGATTTGGGGATTTAATTTGACCTCAATGAAAGCTTACCAGCTTGCAATAAAGGAAGCATTAAATAAATATTTCATGTTGATTTAACGGAACTTTGAAATTTGAATTATAACGGTTTTCAAAAATTTGAAATTTTATAACTGTTTTCAAAAATTTGAATTTCAACTGTTTTCAAAAAATTTGAAAAGTATTTCAACGGTTTTCAGAAATTCAAAAATAAAATGAATGTTAAATTTTTAACTTTCTTGCCACGAACTTTAATAAGAATCAGAACATTAAACAAATCTCCATAGCTGCTGATAAGCGTCACAAATTAATCTCAACCACCACGCACAAAAGTGTCATAAAATAATTTGTAATTTTTCTGTCCTTCATTCTACGCATATCACACACCCGACTTTATGCCATAATTATTTTTCGTCATCACACATCACATTAAGCCCTCTTTTCTATTCCTTTACAAAAAAAAAAGTAAATAAACAAAAAGATACAGCCACATGTACACAGCACAACATGACACACGATAATAAGGCTTATAAGCATACACGGAATTTTTGTAAATCCAAAATTTGTGGAAATTAATGTTGCATGCTACTAGAAAAATAAGAAATGTAAACAATTTTTTTGAGCAAAATAATGATGAATTATAGACGAACAAAAAAGTAGAAGAAGAAGAAGAGATATGAAGTTCTAAAAAAGTGCCTGCTGTATTGAAACAACAAAAAATATTAAAAATGAAACAAATTCAATTACAACAATTTAAGCATTTAATAAAAGCACCATTAATTAAATTATGTACGGTTTAATGAGAGAAAATTTATGTTGGATGTTCCATTTGGGGAATGCTTTTTGTGTGTCATGAATTGTCCGAGTTGTGGGTTAGTAGCGATTTTAAGCAAAAATTAGAAAAATCGTTATTTTTGAAATTTAAACTTTTTGTCTAAAAAGCGCGGGAAAAATTCAAAACCAAATTTAACGGTTATATTTTTTATTGAAGTTTGTGGATGAGAATTCGAGTGTTTGTCACTCTAGAGACTTCCAAAATTTAAAATCCAATTACGCTGATATCCAAATTTGTCATATGTCTCCTTAAATTAATTGAATCCAATTCCTTTTCATTATTAATCACTTAGCGATAAATAAGGTCATTCCATACCAGAAAAGAGCTTAATTATCCTCAAGATTCTGTCTTACTCAAAAAATCTGTCACTCAAATGACAATATTAATAGATTTAGCCACTCGGGAAAAATTCATTTCGATTTTTTTATTCGAATTTATTGCAAAGACGTCGAAATGCTTTAAGAATTTAAGGTCAAGTCTGTCTGAATAATTTTTTTTCCTCTAAGGATTTAAGCATATAGACGAAAAAAGGGCAAAATATGGATTTTTATGATGACACATAATAAATTAAATGCTTAAAAAAAATTCAACATTAGAAAAAAAAGAATTTTCGGATGGAAATGCTTCAACATAAAATTTCTAATAGCTAATAGCAATGGAAATGATGTACATAAAGTGCTGGGTTGGAAAAAGGCTGGTAAAAGTAAATAATTGTTTAATTTTGAAGTTAACAGAAAATTTAAATTTGAATTTTTGATGGAATTGATGCGAAACTCTAAAAATGTTTTATAAAAAGATGCGAAACCGTACAATTGATGCAAAAAATGATGCAGAACTCTAAAATGTTTTATAAAAAGATGCGAAACCGTACACTTGATGCAAAAAATGATGCAGAACCCTAAAAATGTTCTATAAAAAGATGCGAAACCATACAAATTTTTTAAAATTACTAAACCTTATATCAGCAAAAACTGAACATTTTCCTCAATTTTAACTGCCAGCAATTTTTCAACCCTGCGAAAAAGGAGTCAAATTTGACAGTAAATGGTCAAAGTAGAAAAAAAACATTTAACACAAAAATAAACTTAGAAATGAGCAATTCTGCTTTACAAAATGCCGTGAGAAATGTGAAAAGTTTGGCAGTAATGACTTACTACATACGATTAGAACTTTTTATATTTGTTATAAAAAAAATATGTGAAAAAATAAAAATTGTAGAAAATTGATGCATAAAACTGCTTTATACTCCATGTAATGCTGCTACTTTGGCACTTGAGAGCAGTAAATTATGTTTAATGTTGATATTGTATAGAAAACGATGAAAAATTCAATTGAGATAATTTGATTTGGTGCAGAAAAGCTTTCCCAAGCTTCTAGAGCTTTTTATTTCCTTTCTTTATTGTATTTCCTGCTCATAGTTCAGGATACATCATTTATTCATTCTTTTCATACAAATATGACATTTCAATCACGTATTGTTGATGCTCTTTCTTAACAATTTTATGTGAAAAATTGTAAAATAATTTGCCAAAAATTGAATATAATTTTCCTCGTTAGCTAGGTTTCGGCCAATTACTTAAAAATTTTAGATATGAAACTTTAGAATTAAAACAACAAATTATTAGATTAAGACAATATCTGGCACTTTTTAATACTTCTTGACAGATCAGAAAAATGGCATCGCTAGGCATTCACAATGCGTCGGTAGTTCTTCAAACTTGTTCTGTAGAATTTCGATAAGAATCAATTTCATGTTATGTCTAATTTATAATAGGGCACTGGTAACGATCCAATTGATTTACAGAACCTTCTTATTCGCGATTATTGGAGAAATGCAATACGATTAGACTCACAATTGCCTCAGATCCGACAATGTAATATAATAAGATCCAGTTCCATTTTTTCTAGGTTAGGTTTGCAAAAACTTTTACTTTTTGGTCAATATTTGATGTTTTGCAAAATTTCAATTAAATCTTGAGTTTTCTCACTGGTCTTTCTGTTCCTCAGTCATTTGTGAAGATTGTAAACTGTTGTTGGTGTCTGGTTCCTACACGTAAATAATACAATTTAGAGAATTGATGATTTCACAACCTAAAATCCTTAAAATTCGCTCCGAACAAAGAGAAATTTAAATTATGCTCTTTTATATTTCAATTAATATTTTCCTACATGAGGTCAGAGAATATCGAATATGATTAATTGCACAATATTTATTAATCTAATAAAGGTAATTTATAGACCGCACTTTTTCACCCCAAAGGACAATTGAAATGCTGAAAAATTATGCTAATAAATATTAAAACCCAAAAGCGATTAATTTTTAAGGGTAAATGTCGATGAATTTGATACTTTTTAATTTATTTGCGACACAAAGTTACGAAAATAATTATTTCTGACTATCAATTTGATTTAATTATTAACGATAAGTGACTAAAAGGGAATTAATTATATTTTATGTCAATCAATAAAACACAAGAAAAAAACTTTATAGCACAAAATTACTTTGATTTTCATACTTTTTATGTTAAAAGCTACCTAAAATAATAAAGAACTACTTTAAAACTTTGATTCTGCCTTTCATTTTCTTCTATAAACTTGCTGTTATAGTCTGAATACCCCTCGATGGAGCAACAGTCATGACAGACGATGAGATTGGCTGAATAAAATTTCTCATTTCTTTCAATTTTGACATTTCCAATTTCAGCTTATCGAGTATCGCATAATTTGGTTGATTTACGGCAGCACGAGTTTGCAATACAGTAATCTCCTGCTCTTCCTGCTTCTTTTCCTTAAAACTCTTGACAGAACGATTACCATAGAGACGCAGCAATGAGCCCCACGTATTAATATGTGGATGAAGCATTTGAAGAATTGATTGCGATGCACGTTGCTTCCCATCACGCTTATTTTTACAATAAACTTTCGCAACATGCTGACCGACCGTCATTGTATATTCATTCTTCTTGTGCTTTGCTGTATTTACTTCATATTTCACTTGGATATTTCCCAAGCCATAATTTCGTTGTAAGCATGTCAATAAGATTGAATGTGGTGATGGCTCCGTTGTTTTCTGACAAAACTCAGGCACTCGAGGATCCTCAATGCGAATCTCATCAAAAACTGATAAATCTTGTGGTGGAACTGCTGAAATTGGCTTGCTGTTCACAGATGTTGATTGATTGTTCTTATCGAGTCCGGTAATTTTCTCACGCATTTCCGGAATTAATACTTCAAGTGTCTCACGTGCAGCCTCACTTTTAGCTTGCTTCTTACTCGTACCATAGCCTGTACCATATTTGAGATTATTAATTGAGACTGTTGCCGAGTATGGCGTTGCTGAATTTTCCAATTCTTTAAATTCATACGTTGGCTGCTTCTTCAATGCATGCTGTACATATTCATGCAATATGCAAACATATGACTTTCCATTTGGATTCATTACCCATTCTTTTTTTGGTCGTTGTTGCGATGTTGCAGTTGTCTGTCCATTTACTGGGTCTGTTTGGATATCAGTGTTCAACACGGGAAATGTTATCTGTACGAGGCAACGAGAAATAGGAAGAGAGATTGGATACAGAATATGAATTAAAATAGCAAAAAGCTCGTTTACTTTTGGGAATTTAGAGCAGGTATGTATGTTCTATCAAAACTGTTTGTTGCTTGTGCATTTTTTATAGTTTTAAAGAATTTAATTGAAATTGCTTGAAGAGCTTCTACGCTCAGCATTGGATTCGAATTCATTATATTCACAAGATCAACTAAAGTCATCCAGAAGTGTCAGACTGATCAAATTTATATTAACAACGTATCATTCAATTGGAAATTTCATGTCCGCTATCTAGGAGTTTATTTAGACCAGAAACTTACATTTAAACATCACTTGGATGTTGTCTTAAGCAAAACAAAAGCTATAGCTTACTCAACTCTGTACCCATTATTGAAAAGAAACTCGGGAGTTTCTTCCGATTCCAAACTCAGGATCTACAAATCAATTTTACGCCCAATAATAACTTATGCTTGCCCGATCTTCATTAATTGTGTAAAAACTAATTTCAATAAACTCCAAAATTAATTTTATTCAAATTGCGAATCACATTCTAATGATTTAATTTCCAACCTGGGACGATATAGATATGACTCTCTAGACTTTCGTTTGAAGCACAAACTTCCAAAACCTATTTCCTCTTACAGGAGAGGTTTTTCTTTTTATTTTTATCTTTTTATATATATAATCATTTTTAATTTTTCCAGGATGGTTTTTTTTCAACTTTTTTTCAACCAATAATCTCATTATATTGAACATATCACGAAATACGTAATTAAGAATCAAGTTAAGTTTAAATTAAAACCGAATAGGTTGGTGTTAAAATAAAAATCCATGTAATGTTAAATTTCAAATATTCACAAGAAACTCACAATAAAGACAAATATTATTATCAGCATTGGATTAAACTTTAATCTCAGAATTAAAAAAAATAAATCTTCCGATTTAAATTAAATCTTTGGATTAAAAAACTAATCCGTAGATTTACATTTACAGAAACGGTTAAAATTTAAATTTTCAAACCCCGTTAAGATTCAAATGCATGAAAAGCGTTAAAATTTAAATGTATGTAAGACGTTTAAACTGCAAGTAATTTTATAGCTTACCAATTTGGTTCCATCAGGTAATGTTGGCCTCTGCAAATGCTTGATGTGCTTGCGATTCTTTGTAAATTTCCTACGAGCTGACCATGACTTGAATCTCATAACACGAATTGTCTTAAAATTGAAGAGCTTCTTACAATACTCTGTAAATTGAGACGGTGTCAATGAATGATCTTTGAGATTTTCTGAGACAGTCTCGACTTTTGCAATGCATGATGGAATTGGCATTATTGGTTTCGCTGTTGGTTGAGTTTCATTCTTATTGAGATTTAATAATGCACTCAATCCATTTGGTAATTCTTCAGTCGGCTCGTCAATAGCATTTAATGCCGCTTCAGCAGCATCCTTATCTTGCTGTTCTTTTAATAGCCTTTGCTGCGCAATCATTTCCTTCTCTCGTTCTGTTGCTTTTCGATAACTAAGACATGGAATGGAACTTATTGGAATTTGATGTTTACGTACGCTTCCTGGTCCGAGGAAGTACGGACGAGATAATGAACAAACACGACTTTGTCGATGAAGATATAAAGGCATTCCTGAGTCATGAGTTACTTGTACCCAGTGTTCTGGTAGCATCTCAAAATGATTTTTGCCCTTTTCTGTGATTGATAATTAATGTAATTAACGCTAATTGATGATTGACAGTCGACATTAATGTCTATAAATCGATTTACCTTCCATAATTGTTTTAAATCTCTCCTCATACTCCTTCTTTTTGTTTTTCAGCTCTTCGGGTAGCCTCTCGTCCAGCATAGACTCAATCTCTTCGTAATTACCGTCTGAATCGGAATAATCACTTCCAGCTAAAATAAATAATTTAAAAATTGTCATTTGACTGACATTTTACACTACTGGATCTTATCATTACCATCTGACTCATTTTCCTTATCTTTATTTTCGTCATTCTCGTCCACCTGATTATCATGCAATGGATCACTCTTATTCTCATCGCCATTCTGGATCATTTCTAAAGATCCAGTTTCAAAATTTTCAGCAATGGAATCAGCTTGATCATCGCAAAACATTTCATTATCCTCATTGAGTTTCCTCTTCTTATAAGGACATAACTCAATTTGCTCTATAGCCGCTTCCATTTTTTCTATGTATGCAAAAAGTTCTTCTTTTTCTTATTTTCTTGTCAAAAACTTAAAAAGCTGCTGTCTTTTGATATTTTTCTGCCAAAATAATCAATATTCAAATAAAATTTTGAATTCAATTAATGGATTTCATTATGATATTGACGACTGGCAGAAAAATTAAGTAATTAAAGTCACTATTAATGGTCAAAATTGTTAAAATCAATTTTTTTTTTGTTAAAACACTCTGAAGAAAATGAATATCAAGGAATAGGAAACTTTAAATTTTAAAAAACCGTTACACTTAAAAACATTTGTGAGGTTTTCAAAAATAATAAGTTTCTATTTTTGCATTATTTTACAGTACAAGTCTTTGATTGGAAATCTATTTCACATCATTCGTATGTATTTCAATCCTTGCCTTGAAATGTTTCAAAGTTTAAATTTTAACCGTGAAAAAGGATTTAAATTTTCAGTCTGCAATTTAAAAACTTTTAAATCGTTATTTTTTCAAATAATTTCAGACCGTTAATTTCAAAACTTTAATTAATTGCATTCCAACCCTGGCTCACACAAAATATTTCGTAACGTTCTTAAAAGTACATGTGGATGTAAGGTTCTGAATTATTAGAGATGTCGAAGGAAGCCGCAAAAGTTATTTTCCTATTATTATGTGTAAGAATTTCGTCGGTGTTTGTTATTAAAACATTCTTTTCACCTGACGAATATTGGCAATCACTGGAAGTAGCACATCGCATAACATTTGGGTAAGAAAATCAACTTTTAACTTTTGATACGCGCAAATGTTTTGTTTACAAATTCCTTAAAAGGACATAATAACTTAATTTTAAATACCCTACACGTGATTAACATTCTTAATTATTCTCTTGTAGTTATGGACACTTGACATGGGAATGGACGAAAGGAATTCGCAGTTATTTTTATCCGACTCTCTTTGCTGCCATTTATAAAGTTCTGGATCTTTTAAAAATAGACTCGCGCGTCTTTTTAATTCTCCTGCCGAGAATCTTTCAAGCTCTTATTGCTTCGTATGCTGATTATCGTTTCTATGTCTGGTGTAATCGCAAAAAATGGTCACTATTCATCATTGTTACTAGCTGGTTTTGGTTCTATACTGGAAGTAGAACCTTCATTAATTCATTTGAGGCAGCACTAACAACAATCGCATTGAGCTTCTTCCCTTGGAATGAAAATAGCGGTAATTACCTTTATCTGGATCTTACAGATTTAAGCCTTAATGTATGCAATTTCTTTGAATTTCATGAAATTTGTTAATCATTTTAGAAAACACTGGATTCTTGTGGATTACAGCACTGCTGACTTACATCAGACCAACTTCAGTACTCACTTGGGCTCCTTTATGCTTCTATCATGTTAAAAAGTCAAAATATCCAGGATGGGAACTACTTCTTAAGAGATATCTCTTCATTGGACTGTTTACTGGATCTGTTTTAGCTGCTCTTGACTCATACATTCATGGAAGCTTTATAATCACACCTTACGAATTCTTTAAAGTCAATGTTCTTGATGGAATTGGCAGTTTCTATGGAACACATCCATGGTATTGGTACTTTAGTACTGGATTACCGGCTATTTTGGGTATCGGAATAGTCCCTTTCTTTCTGTCCATTTTCGTCGCTATTCAATCATGGGATGAATCAAAAAGTCGTCAATACATTTTGTTCTCAATTATTTTGACTATATTTGGATACTCATTATTGCCACATAAGGAATTCCGGTTCTTATTGCAAATTCTACCTTTATGTCTATACTGCATAACACAATTCTTATCAGAATGGAGCCGAACAAAGTCAACAATTGTTATTTGGCTAGTTGCTGTTGTCATTCTCGTCAGTAACGTTATTCCTGCTGGATATCTTGGATTTGTGCATCAACAAGGAACACTCAATGCTATGGACAAATTAGCATCAATTGCTAGCGATTATAAGACAGAAAATGGACAACCTGCAAAGTTCTTATTTTTGATGCCTTGTCATTCAACTCCTTACTACTCTCATATCCATCAAAATGTCACTATGAGATTTTTGACTTGTGAACCGAACTTTAAAAATCAAGAAAATTATTTGGACGAAGCAGACAAGTTTTATGAAGCACCAATGGTATGGATTAGAAGACACCTTCCTGTTCATCCGATTGACGCACTGCCAACTCATGTTATTGTGTTCGATACTTTAGTGCCGAAAATTAGTGACTTTTTGTCAATTTATAAGCCTCTCGAGATCTTCTTCCATGCTGATCATTTAGTATCTCAACGTAATGGACGGAATGTGATGATTTATGAACGCACCCAAGTCGCTAAGAAGAAAATAGAATCGGATATTGTGAAGGAAACACCAGAAGTTAAGCAAGAAGATCAGATTCAGGACGAACTTTAAGGAAAAAGTTTCTTATAGTTTGTTAAAATTTAAAGAATTTATTTCCTTGTCAACTGCCTTAAAATGGTTTTCTCAATCAGGTACAATTTAGTAGGATATAGGGAAATTAACAAGAAACCATAATGTGCTGATGTGACCATACAAAACTTACTATTTCATTTATAAAATTAACGATATTTTCCCACTCAAAATTTAACGACTTTTCTTAACTTGAAAACTTAACGAAAGTTTGAGTTCATAATTAACGGGTTCCAGAAACTCAAAACATGACGGTTTCTCAAAATTCAAAATTTTAACGAGACATTCAAAATTTAAAAATTCGTTACAATGTTTTTAAATATTTGCATGGCACATTACAGCATTAATAAAACACAGTTCGAACAGAAAATCTGATGAGAACATTTTTAACACCAAATCATGCAAACATGATTTAAATTAGGATGATTAATGATGACTAAAGATTTACTTAAAGCAATAACAGTTCTCTCTACAACAATTTTTCGAGTAAATTTAATTAAAGAGAATTTTTTTAAGATAATTAGTTCAAAGAAAAGAGTTGCAATTAAACAAATTAAATTTTTCATATTATATTTTGTAAGGTAAAGGTGTTATTTCATGTAAGATTTTTTTTGGATGTTAAAAAAGAAGATTTAATCGACAAATAAAAACAAAATTTAATTAAAATAAGATAATTTTATCAATCATCAATATCGTGGATGATGAATCTGTAATATTTAACACTATTACTGACTTGCTAAATGAGTTGCAAATTATTTGTGTCTACATATTAACATTTCTCATTTGTGGCAATTTGGAGATTTAGCACTTCCATCAAGATTATGGAAATTTGGTAATTTAGGAATAGTAGAAAAACATGAAATGGGAGGTAGACATTTCATTTTTAGAGAAAGAGTTCATTTTGATAAAAGTATCGTTTAATGAATAGTGGGTTTGTGGCTTAAGAGCTGCTTAATTTTGACGAAAATTTAACTTCAAATTTAACGGTTTTCAAAAATTCATAATTTAAAGGCTATGAAAAATTCAAAGTTTTGTAACAGTTTTCAAAAGTTCGAATCTTTTTGAACGAAGAATTCAAATTTTCATTTAACGGTTTGTATACAGTCTGATCATTATCAAGCCAACAGCTACTAATCTTAATTAGCAGATAAAATATTTGCAAATTCAATCGCGCAACATCTCAAATGGCTAAAAGCCGACGACTTCTCTTTTTCAAAATTTGCATTTTTCAACAAAAAAAAAAATTGGCAGTAAAAACATGAAATATGACATAATTAAAGACTTTGTATGAACTTGTAGTGTTTCACTTGTGTTTTTGCACCATCAACTTCACGTAATTAAATCTTAGTGATTTGTGACTTGTTGCTTCTGTTGAGCATGTTTATGGACTGATTAACTCATAAGCTTTATGATTTTATTTGCCATGTTAATTTAATTAAACATAATCTTCTTTAAAATAAGATATTTTCTATTATTTTATTATCACTAAAATCTTGGCATCCGATTGATTTATTATTTAATGTTGAACATGAGTCGATATAAAATTTTAAAAAGACATCTATGCCTTGAACTTGCTTTTGTGGTAAAAATGTGGATTTAACTTTATTTTGACAGATTTTAAGAATATTTTTGATTTTCAACGGTTTTTTTTAAAAAATTTTGAAAAAATTTCTACAATTTGATATGTGTCTTGACTTTCTTAATCTGACAAGTGTCTCAACTAGTTATTTGACAAGTGTCTCTACTATTTAATATGATATGTGTCTCGACAATTATTAAGTTTGGTCGAATTTGAATTCGAATGTGAATTGTGTCTTGAATAAGAATTGATGCAAACTTTTGAATTTTTAAAATCCGTTGAATATTTTTTCGTGAATTTTAGACCAAATTGGTTATCTATGGACACATAAAAGCGCATAAACATACTTCCCCATTATCTAATCTCGATCTACATTACAATTCCTAATTTTTTCTATGTCCCACAACTCTTGCTAATGACTGAATTCATTATGTAAATGATAATCTTGTTTAATGTGATTAATTTTTATGTTGATACATAAATTTGTGTTTATTTTGCCTCAACTGCCTTTCGTCTTTGAATCTTCTCAACTGCGCTTTTTTTTTGGACGTAAAAAACCGGTAGAATAAATAAATTTTTATATTTTCAACTACATCGAAAGACGGGCAAAAGAAACAGCATAACACATATGATCATATAAATACTTAAATAGTAATGTGTATCAACATGAGAATTAATACCAAAATAAGAGAATAATAATATACACAAATACATTGATCGTCGCGTGTATTATAGCCTGGGAAGTCTGGGATCATTATTGTCTCTCTTGTGATGTGAATACGATCGTTTTTGACTTAGTTTTCAATAAAATAATAATAAATACTTTAATAATAAAAATCTAATAAGAATTTTAAAAAATTTCCCATAAAGTGAATTATTTGCTTCCTCTGGAAGTGTGAGTGGAAGTGAATAAGGACAAAAGGAAGTTAATTGACTTGTTATATACATTGAAAGAAATTCGTTTTTGTGAAATTGGAAAGAAACATCAGAATCATGAATATTCAAGTAAGTCTAGCTTTTAATGCCGCGCAGCTATTATCTCAATTTTTATTGTTTATTTTGCGTATTTTTTTAATGACTTCTATAAACGTGGAGTCATAAAACCGCTGATAGTGGAAATGTCAAGAAAGGGCATTAAAAGTTCATAACGTGATTTTTATTAAGTGATTAGAATGCACAGCTAATAATTTGCTGCAAATATTCATTTAATAAAAGCGCATAATCGTAATAAAAATATCGTAGCGGCTGCATATTGTTTTGTTTATAATATAAACACTCGAGTTGGACGAGAAATTTGGGATTTCAATATTAACGGTTTTTTAGATTTTGAATTTTCTACTCAAATTGAAGTTTTGAGAATAATCCAAATTTACGCTTTAATGCAAAGAATTATCACAACTGAAGTAATTCAATGCGTCAATCACATGTTAATCTCTATTATCAATCAGATCAGATCAAACTTTGATCTTTAAAAACGAAAAAAATCAAAATTCAAAAAGCCGTTAAATTTAATAATCTACCTTTAAAAAAATGTTAAAATCATGCAACTTTAAGCATTCAAATCAAAAACATCAAAACCCATGTAAAAAAACATAAATAAGAAGTCTCCATGCGTTGCCATTACTCTTGTTCTCCCTTCATGAAATAAATTAATTTTCATTCTTCATACAAAGAGCAGCAACAGTGAGAAGAGAAAAGAACGTCTAAAAAAAGAAAGTCGATCGTTCTTCCTTCATTTCTTTTTAAATGCTCAAGAGTGAATGTTAAGGTTAAAAAGTCATTTCATTCACTCCCGCTTTTGAAAACGTTCTAGATCTCTTTTTTACCCATTAAATGATGATAATTGAAGAATGAGAATTTTCATCAACACTTCCAACTGTATCTGCTGTTAAGAGGAAGTTTTTGGATTTATTTTAAAAGCAGTGACTGTTTTAAGGAGCAATTATTTGTCAATCTGTCTAGATTTGGATTGGTTTTCTTTGATTATAGAGTTACTGTTTTTTGTTTAAATGATTTGCATTTGTAGAATTGTTTTTGTAAACAAATAGAAATTCTAGTTTCCCAACTTTTTTGTTTTGTGAAAAATTTCAAGTTTCAAATGCGAAAATCTCAATATTTAAAGAGAGTTAAAGGATTGTTTTGATAGAAACCTCTTTGCTCACTGATTTTCCATCGATTGACATTGATTTTCCAGCAAATAAGCTATAATTGACAAAGATATTTAACATCAAAATCTCCAAGTGAGAGAAAATTGACAAACCTTCAAAACTTTTTTTTTGTACATCGTGTAATTTAACAACAGTAGCCAACTTACGATAAAAATCGTGTACTGATAACATTTTGTACAACTACCATTATTGAACTTTATCACTTGCGTGTACATTCTTACAAAATCAAAATTATCAACACCACAAAAAACCTTTACGCAATGTTTACATTCTCAATACGGAAGAGAAATGCGTTGCTTCAAATTAAATAATCGTAAAACTCAATATTTTTCAACTTCCTAATTATTTTCATTGAAAGCAGCAAACGCACACTGTACAGAATAAATTAAAGTGATGACACAGAATTGTATCCAAAAATAAAAATTAAACAGAAGAAGAGAAGGGAGAAGTGTCGAGCTGCATTTTGATTATTATTAACTTTAACATAGTATTATTGTTATGAACATTAGATTTGAGTTAAATGTTTATAAACTAAAATGTTTATGTGGATAACTGACACTTTGTGACTTGACATGGGTTTATTAATTGATCGTGCCGGGAATATGAATATGAAATATTTTTAATTTAAATTAAATATCCAATTTAGTATCGAAATTAACGAACAATAAATGTTCAAATTTGTGTATTAGCTTACCTTAAGTTGCTTGTTTTAATGTGTTTATTAATTAAAATCCACTTTCGATTGTCCTAAATCTATGATTATTATAGATTATCTCGTAAACTTGATTTAATGATTTTAATAATCACGGTAATATCATTTGTATAAGGTTACTTGAATTCGTGGGGCGCATTTTATGATCTGATTTTAAATTTAAATTTTTAACGTCAAGAAACAATTCAAAAATTTTCATCTATAACGTGAAGATAGCTTCATTAAAATAATTCAAATTTGAAAAAAACCGGTAACACTTTAAATGTTGGAAAACCGTTGAAAAGCACCAAAGTGAAAACCTTTCCTCATTTTTCAAGCTGAACCAGCAAACGTCATCCACTACAGCTTTAAATGCTTGTGATGTCAAATTTTCTTAAGTGAATTTCACATTTAATTTTCATAATTCATAATCATATACTGCCATAAAAATGATTTTTATTTCATGTCATTTTCGTACGCGCCTTTTCTATGCTTCGCTTTACTTTTTTGACAAATGCAAACTTTTTTTTGGTGATAAAACATTAAAGCTATTTAGCTTCTTGAATAGTAGGCCACCCACGCACACATAAAATCCAACAAGATACCGGCAATATTTTACTATATAGTTCCATACATTTTCGTTTGTAGTGACACCGGAACCAAAAAAAAAGTGTTTAACATCGCGCACTACAAAAATAGAATTAATGACATTTTTTTCTGTCCTCTTCTGCCTTTCTTTTTGTTCTCATTTATGGTCATGTTGAACATACACACATACACACATGATTTATTAAGCTATTTGTCTTTGACTCGCAAACATCACTCGCATTTTTCTACATGCTGCAACCAAACAATGTCACATGGGGAATGTCAGATATGATTATTTAAAAAGGGATTGACACGATCGATTTTTTTGTGAATGTATGAAGCTGTTGATGGAAGTTTTTGAAGTAATTTGTTGGATTCTTACTTTTTTGAAGATTTTAGAAAGTATGACTAAAGATATGAACGAAACATAAGATTTTGCAGGGGGATAACAACATGAAATGAAATTTCCCACTGAGTCATCAAAAGTCTTTTAAATTATCACTAATCGGTAAGTTTAAAAGATATAGAGGCAGTTCCAAGGGGCAAACAACATGATGAGAAACCAAATCTATATAAACTATTTCCTCATGATGTTGTTTTCCCCTTAGGACTGCCTCTCCATCTTGTGAAATTAACGATGTTCGATAGATTTTGGCTCCAAATTTATAGTCAAAAATTCAGTTGTTATCCCCCCAATTTTTAACAACAATTTGCTAAATTCAAATCCAAAATCACCGTTAAAATTCAAAAAAGCAAAATTAATCTCAATTCAGCAATACCAGAGCACTTTTGAGGCTTCTCTCACCTTAATTTGATGCGCTTTCATGTTGTTTATCTTGCCAATCACTGATCTCCTATACGATACCGACTTCCATTCATTATAGGATTCAAAAGTTTCGATTTATTTATGTCGGTGCTATACATGCGTGCAACATGTAACGGTTCTTTTACTTCATACATAAAATACTCTTAAATTTCCATCCATTCATTTAAATTCTTTTTCGGTGTAAATTTACGTCGATGATGATCGTAAGGTATAATTACCATGTTTTAAGGTCTTCATTCTTTCAGTCGTTCATTTATCTTCTTTAAAAAAGTCTCAAATTTTCATGCTCTTGTCAATTGGATGCGATGAAGTTAAACAATTTTAAAAACTTTTTTTTTCTTCTGAAATGAAACAAATTGAAGCAATATGCAGCGATGACAGTTGAGTCTTGTGTATTTTTAGGTTTTAGATTTATTCAATTTTAATAGCTTTTTCTACTCTATCACTTTACATACATTTTTTGGTTCTTTGTTAAAGGTCAGAGTGCTTCTTATTTATGTTATTTTAAATAGACAGCTTCATCTTTACGAGGAACAGCCATAAAACGGCATTTAATTTTAAGAAAGCTAGAAATAGAAATAAAAAGTAAGTTTGAGGGTGGGATTGTTGACTTAAAGGAGTGGATTTACTTTATTATGCGATTTAGGATGACAGCTTAGGTAGGTCAACATGATATATTGTTTATAATAACGATGAGACTTAGTTTTTGCATAGGATGAGTTGCTTGTTGTGTGACAGAAGCTTCTAATCCTCATTGTTGAATTGATGACTTCCTGAGTTTGTATTAGATGCGCCAAATAAGATAGTTGAGGAAGCCTAGGATTGTCAAAAGTCCGTTAACAAGTTTCTGGATCTAAGTGGAAGTGATTATTTCAATTTAATAAGCTTTATGGTTGAGTGACATCTGATGGCACCAACGAGAGTCAAATTTTGTGAAAATAATCTTCAATATTTCAATTACCTATCATTTTCTCAGTATTAATCATCCTCTCAGTCACTGACTCGTCATTGCTGTTTCCCACTGTCTCTTTTTCTCCAACATGATGTACCAGCACCTTATCCTCATCACTAGTCTTCATAAAAGCCAAAAATATTGTCCAACAAAACGATGCAATTGCCACAAAAGATACTCGATTCCTCTCATTAATAAGTGAGAAATTAATGATTGAAAAGAATGGCCAGAAGCAGATAGCGACCTTAAATGTTGGCGGGAATTTGTCAACAACTTCCATTCTAGCTTCTTTAAATGACTTTCCTTCCATTAAACTCATTATTACAAAGAATGAAACAGCAGTTGCTGGTCCATAGCTTAATTGCTCTGTAAGTGACTTTGCAATTCCAGTTCTAAGCGCCGTTTGTGGCCACATGTGACTTGATAATCGAATCCATCCATAAAGTGTCGGCGCAACAAAGAAAGTGCCAAAGAGAAAGAATCTAAAAGCTTTTTTTAAGTCAATCTGTTCCTTAGCTAGTAATTGTTGAGCTATTGAGCTTGTTGGCCAAATGATGCTATAGACAGCCATTCCTTTGAGCAGTGGACGTGCACGAAAGAATTTTGACACTTTTGACATCATTTTTTCATTTTAAAATAACTTTAAATGTTTGTAAACAACACTGAATTTCATGGCGTGCTCATTTAAATTTCGAATTAAGGCACACATCTTTCAACTTATTCCGATGATGCAATCCAGACATCTCATAAAAGCTGACACAGTTTAAATAAACATGTAACGCAATTCCTTCAATTTTCAACTCATCGACTCAGAATCAATGCAATTAAAATGCGAGAAATAAAATTCCATAAAGTTACAATTCACATTAAGGCAGTGAGAGAATAGCTTGATATCAATGGAGTGTGAACCTCGTTCTATTTCTATTTTATAGTTTAATCGTTTTATAAGTACCGACATCTATGTTGTGCCTATATGATTCATACATATATTGGCGGTGCTTTTGAAGAACGTGATGATGTAGGAGACATAAAAAGACAAAATTGTAGATTCAATGCACAACTTTACTTGCCATAAACAATATTGATCAGTTCCGAACCTTTGGTACAATGTATGATCATGTCTTTCGAAGTATCTGATTCACTATTTTTAGGTTAGAATATGAGAAGAAGATCCAGAGACTTTAGAATTGATTTCCATTCCTTACATCACTTATTAACTTCCCCAAAAGTCAAAGGCGAATAAAATGAAGATTCTGAAATCATATCGTATGTGATCAGCTCATATAGTGCATCATCTCCATTCACAAGGTCCCCGCGAAACAAGTTTAAGGCAGACTCATTTTTGTGTGGGCTGATGTGTAGTTTTGCATTTAACAGAAACAAAATAAAAAAATTGCAACAACAACAATGAGACGTGACATTTTGAAGATGACTGTAAAGCTTTTTCTTTATTTTATTACTCAATTTGTAAGAATAAATATTTGCGATATTACAGTGCTGAATGTGAGGAGATGAAAATATAAACTTACAATGCTATCCGAGTAAATATTTAACACAATGTGGATATAGACTTAATGTGAGTTATGAGAAAAATTCATATTTAAACGAGTCTGTTGCTAAAGCTTTATATTTTATTTCCGTTCCTTTTTTTCTACGAATATTATTGCATTATTTATGTACTCGATGATAAACGAACGTGAAAGGATTGATTTATGACTAATGAGGCAGGTTAATAAATTTAATTCGATCTTAATAAATCATGTAGTTATCATGCTTTAAGTTGATTTGATTTTCATTGAGACTATAACTCAATGAAAGTTGGGATGTGATGTGTGGAAGGTCCATTGGACTTGAAGCTTGTCTTGTGTGGGTTTATTAAGATTGGAACAAAGACAGGGAACTAAGGGAGGTAGCAAAAGGTATGGGACCTTTTTATGAAGCTTTCCAGCTGTAACCTACGAATTACTTTACAAAATAGCCTCAACACGGTTTATGTCTTCTTTATGGCCTGCAAATCAATTTTGTTGCATCTTCATCTGAATAAATTGGATGTGGCATTAAACCTTCATAATCTACACTCTTAATAGATATGCAAACATAATAAAACAAAATACAAGTCCAACTTTATGAAATAAGCAATAACCGAGCCCTTCTTTGATGAGACTGACCTTTATTAAGTTTCAGATTACAGAAAGCATTTACAGACAAAAACATTTAATACATGTTTGTAAAAGATAGCTGTCCAGTTGCAATAAGAAGCTATATTTATCAAAAGACAGATCAAAAGCATCAAAAATTGTTCAAAAACATTGAGATTGGAACTTAATATCATTTGCCTTAACTTTAGTATTATCATGTGTTTCTAGTTTGTTGTATCTCCGAGTTGGCATTAACATTTTGTGGATCTTATGTTGAATTTGCAAGAATATCTGGAAGCTAAAGGGTCGTGTAAAAATGATGTCAATTTGAATATGAGATTTTTTTTAGAATTTTAAGGATGTAGTAAGTGACGTCACTGTCAAAACCCACTTTATCCACCGTTTATAGCAGTGTTGTCCAAACTTTTTGAGTCACGGCACATCTTGGGGGTAAGCTATGATCAAAGTCGCACAAAGCATGTGGCTCGTTTCATTTTCAAAAAAAAAAATCTACAGCACATCAGTGTGCCGCGGCACACAGTTTGGACAACACTGGTTTAAAATAAGGCATCATTGATGAATGAACCTCAACTAGAATTGATTTGGTTCATCACAGGAACTCTTTAATCGACTTTGACCCTTGCTATACTTCTATCCCATAACATCAAGTGATTCCAAACATATTAAACATTGTGCAGCTCAGTCACACTGACAAACATTAAAGCAAGAAATGAATTACAACAACTAATGATTTATTCAAGATCCATTCAATCGATATTGAGACTCAAACAATATCATCTGTGGTATCAAATGTTTTGATTATTCAATTCAACATTAAAATTCTGGATGCGTACAATTTCAACAGTAACAAGATCTTTGACTATATATGCACAATAAAATAATAATAATAAAAAATTGATATTTTATGCAATAAAAATTCAAGTCCAAGCGTGATCTCATTGAGCTTGAAGGATTTCCATTAATAAAGTTTACACTTACAAGTTTCAAGTCTCATTTCTTTCTTGCTTAATGAACTTCAATGTGTTAACCTCATATAAATTATTTCGAGCCACAAATAGTGATCTTAATTACATAGATTAGCTGTAAAAACAATTTGTTTAGACACATGATGCCTCCTGGCATCAGTTTACAATTTTGCATATCATGAATCTCTTCAGATGACTTTAATTGAGAGTGACTGTTTTTTTCCAGTGGTTCTCAAAACTTTCATGTTGTTGACGTTTTTGTGCTGCATTTGGTTTCCTAAAACGATGTTTTGTTGCTAAATACACGTGGGTGTCTAACACGACGTGACATTCTTATTCTGAAGCATTGACCTTAAGGATGTTTAATGGAATTGCACTGTTTTATTATTTCAGGAATTATTGGCTAGGGATCGTTCACGTATGACGTCCGAAATCAACAGTCATTTTTTAAAAAAGAACAATGGATTTCCAGGAATTTCAATTGTTCTTTTCTTGCTGACCCCCCCTGGACGTCATCAGTGAACGACCCCCTAGGAACCTGACAAAATTTAGCTTAGACACTGATACAGGAGTTCGTATACGCGAACCCAACTTAATGTATGTCTCAATTTGGATCTAGCTCTGTCTTACAATATTAATTTACGATAATTAAGGAATCTGCAAATTTCAGCACACCCCAAACTCAATTATGCAATAAATTGCGCCATTCCAAATCCAGCAGCATTGAAACAATCACCAAACTACCAATTTTCATCACCTCTCTCGCAATTTCATACTTTCTATCATTTTATTTGCTTTTACAATTCAACGTAATTTGAGCTTACCATGCTTATTTGCTCAAATTATCTTGTCAACAGCACACGGAAAAGTGTAAAGAGACACAAAAAAATAAAAATAATAAAGTTTTTCGTTTGTTTGTGCAATTGATAAGGTTTCACCTTTACTTCACGTTTCACTACGTCTGAAATGGCAACTCTTTTTTGCACATATGTTTGTCAGGCTGTATAAAGTTGCTAAACAAATTATTTAGAAGTTGATAGCTGCGAGGCTTAAAATTGTTTACTAAATGCTGAAATGATGAATGATGTCTTCTTTTATGTGGACATTTAAAACATTGGCAACATGGAATATAATATAAAAGTGTAATGTGAAGTAAAATAGGCTGGAATGTATGAGTTCTTATTATAATACGGTACTTTGTAGTTTTTTTGTTGGGATATTTTACGAATAGGGGTTCTAGATTTTGAGTCGGGTATTAATTGGAATGTCATAGTACGGAATTGAATAGCTACAATACTAATGCATCATTGTACTATTCCCATGCAGTACTGTTCCATTGAAATAACGTGATAAATCAGCATCAGCACTGATATGATGAAAAAATCAAAATTCACAAATTTAACGACTTTAAAAAATTTGAACTTCGGTCTTAAAATGTCGGATTTTTTTTAGCTAATTTGAATTTTAAATGACGGTTAAAAAAATATATAGCTACAAACTGCTACAAACCATGAAGTTTTAATGTCAAAACCAAATAAACATCAAAATAATCGTCAAGTTCCGAAAACCATTCCCACTTCCTTCAAATCTCTAATATTTTTGCGGTTTTCATCTCAGATTTCTCTTTAGAATTTCAAACTTAAGACATTTAATTAACTCATGTGAGCTTAACGAGATCACAGAAAATTCTTTTTCTTTTTATTCTATTCATGAATAAATCTGAATAAGCGAGTTTCTCTTTCTTCTCCACCTAAAGTCATTCACAATGAGTCTATACATACATACACAATATATTATAGCCCCAAAAGAACGGAGGAGACGACAACGTCAAAAAGGCAACGAGAAATTTGATCTTTTCGAGGCAGCAACGTTTTAATTAAGTGAGTTAGTAAACAACTTTTCAAGTTCTACTTTAAATTACTCTGACTAATTTGGCTCCATTACGGAAATCCGATTCGCTTTAGAATCTCGTTTGTATGAATAAGATTATGTATTTATGAGTGGCACTGCGCGCAGAGAAGGAAAAGAAAACATTTTTTTAAGCCTTTTGCTGTGAGCATCGACCGGCTAGAAAGCTAAAGTTTCCAGACTGATTAATACGACTTTGTGTGTTTATAGTCAAAACAGCTTATCGGATTGAAAACTTTCATGATTGAATATGGATTCTTTTAGAATGGGTGTTTAAATTAATGATCAAAATGCTTTTACATTTATTCCTACAAAGATAGTAAGCATCTTAGACAAATAGCAAACTGCTTTCAAAAACAATATTTTATATGCTGTGCCTGTGCGTGTAGAAAATTGGCAATCTTTTTTTTCTATAATTTTCTTTAAAATAGACACTTGGTTTGAAAATCTGAAATTGAATTTGACTTTAAACGCTACTGTTGAATTATTGCGTAGTTTTTGCTGGCCTTGATCGGCTGTTTTTCGAAAATTGTTGAATTTTTCATGCCAAACGTATAGTAGCTGCTTTATAATGATAGCCAAATATAATTTTTTCACCATTAAGTGCTACACATTCTTCTGTTCTTAATTTTTGGAGAGTTTAGGAACAAGTCTTAGGTTTTAAGTAGTTCACTTAGAAACAAACATCTCTTAGGGATTGTTCACTTATGACGTCCGATATTAACGGTCATTTTCAAAAAAGAACAATGGATTTTCAGGAATTTTTATTGTTTTTTTCTTGTGCACCCCCCCCCCCCCCCCCTCCCGCCCTCATGGACATAAGTGAACGGCCCTTAATAGGGACTCATTAATGAATGCATAAAATCACTTTAAATGCCTTCCCTCTAAAAAGTGAACAACAAATACTAAAAAGACGTCTAATCACTTTAAATATGTCAAGAATGTGCCTAATCTGATTACTTTCTTTTGCGGTATCTGCAGTATCTTTAATGCTCAATCTCCAATCCTTCCATTTCACAGTTCTCAAATTACATTTTTTATTTTTTTAAAGAAATTGAAAGAATGGCAAATAAAATCGATAAATCGATAGCAGTAAAAAGTTCTATGTAATGTCAGTAATAAAAATGTGATTTATATTTGTATTATACTTTTGATTCTTTCATTGAACGTCTTGCATAATTTCAATAAATGAAATAAAAAGGAATTAAGGAATATTTAATGTTTTTCAAGGGGTCATATGTGAGATAAATGTCAAGGGACATTTTTCTGTCAAAAAATGTTTGCGTTTTGACTTTGGAGTCGTTTGTCAATGACATCATTTGAGAAATGCTATATTTAAGGTAGTCTCAAAACTTAGTATAATTGAGTTTCGCTAGATATAGTCTTCTTTCGCTAGAGTTCTTTTCAAAATTTGTTTAAAATTATCTAGGGGG